AGGCTCCACACTCAGCATGGAGCCTGATGCGGGGGCTCAATCCCATGACCCTGGGATCATGACCTGAGCTGAAATCAAGAGTCGATTGTTCAAACAGCTGAGTCACCCAGGCGCCTCTTGGGTTTCTTTTAACACTGGAAGTGTTACCTTGTTTTTAACAATATGTCCCAACGCCTTCAGGAAGATATCGTTCAAGGGCGCCTGGCTCACATGGACTCTCCATCTGGGGGTTGTGAGTTCGAGCCCCACGTTGGGCGTAGAGCCTACTAAAAGAAAGTTAACGACACACGTAACATTCATTTATACATAAATACTTTAAAAAGAAGTGATTGCAGTTTATGATGGAGACGCCTGCTCCTCAGAGCCCAAGAGGACTGTACCCGGGCTTGCCGTGTGGGCGTGCTTGGAACTGCATCTTCTGGAGAGAGTCCAGAGCTTTCGGGAGAGCCACAGAGAGTCCTGAGCAGGTGAAGCCAGGACACCTGGCACAGTAGTCTGAGGCTCTGAAGCACTCACAGTTCAGGGTCAGGGGCTCCGTTACCCCCTCCCCTGCCTCCACCCCGGGGCTCAGGCCCTCAGCCAGGTCCACCGGCTCTTAGGACCTGCCTGCCCATCCCGGGCTCCGCAAGGCCCTTCTGCCGTCACATGAGCCCCATCCTTCAAAGGGCTTCACGTCTCCTTTGGGCTTAGGAAAGAAAAGCTAATGGATGTTCTGACCATCACAGGAGACACGTAGAAAAATGTAGCGAAGAAGATAAAAATCAGTCATAATCCTCCTAATGAATGAACCACTGTAAACATTTTCGGTGTCCCCTTCCAGGTTTTCTCCTTTTCTTTTGTATTTTTTAAATGTTTTATTTATTTACTTATTGAGAGGGAGAGAAGGGAAGAAGGAGAGAGAGAGAAGGAGAATCCCAAGCAGGCTCTGTGCTCTCAGCACAGACCCAGATGCAGGGCTCCAGCCCACAAACTGTGAGATCATCATGACTTGAGCCAAAGAAAGACCCTTAACTAAGGGAGCCACCCAGGCACTCCTCTTTTGTATTTTTAAAGAGAGAGTTGAGATCATAGTATGTCTATGAATAGAGCCCTTTTCACTGAACATTACATCATAATCCTCTTGCTTGCCATTAAAAAGCCTTCATTAGCATCATGTTTAGCAGCTTAACAACCTTCTATTGTACAGCCACACTACAGCTTACATCTCCATTCTTCTCTGTTGGGCATTCGTCTTGTTCCTAGCTTTTTGCTTTAATAAATAATTCAGCGAGAAGCCTCTTTGGGCTAGAAGCCGTGCTTACATTCGAGATCATTTCTTTATGATAGATTCCTAGAAGTCTCTTTTGCGCTGCAGAGATACGGTAAGTTAAGATCCACGCACGAAGCGTGGATATCGCTAAAGAGCATGGGCGGTGAGGCGGGGCCAGGCGACAACATTCGCTGGGCTCCTGCCCGAAGCCCAGAGCGCCTCTGGGTACTGTGGGCAGAGTGGACACTTAAGAAGTCAGAACCAGCCTTTAGCTTTGAGAATGCGGTTGTGTCCTGCGGACACAGAGATAGCCTCAAAGAAGGGATCCTGCATCTCAGGTCCTTGGGGGCAGCCATGCACAAGGTTCAGAACCAGACAGAGGCTTTTTGCATACGTTCATACTGCGTTTTCCGGAAAAGGAGCTTTCATGAGAATCACATCAGAATCTTCCATCTATAGAGCTGCAAAGAATTACCATTTAGTGATGGTTTAGGGTGTGTGGATGGGAAGCACAATGAATTTTCTCCATTTATTGTTTCTTTTACTATTTTATTGTATAGCGTTTTATAATAGAAAAAAATAAGGTAAACTTCTTCTCATGTGCTATTAAGATTACTGAAAGAGTATAAGAAGATGACCGTCTGGGGGGCACCTGGGAAGCTTAGTTGGTTAAGCGTCTGACTCTTGCTTTCGGCTCAGGTCATGATCTGGCAGTTCGTGGGTTCGAGCCCAGCATCAGGCTCTGTGCTGACACCTTTGGATTCTGTGTCTCCCTCTCTCTCTGCCCTTCTCCCACTTGCACTCTGTCTCTGTCTCTCAAAATCAAATAAACATAAAAAAGAAGAAGAAGATGATGACAGTCAGGGTCCTGATTTGGGGGCCCTTGAGGTTAGGGTGTAGGAGAGGCCATGGCCCATGTGCAGCAGGCGCAAGGCAGATTTGTCAGCATTCGTCACCTGTCCCTGCAGTGACCTAGCAGTCTGTTCACATATAAAACTGCTCCTGTCAGCACGAGCCAGTGTTACCTGAGCCTGCTCCCTACAGGATCGCGACATCCGAACATTATGTTTCGCCAGTGTGTGGCCCTTTGGTAGTACACACCAGTGTTTCCTCATCCCTCTGCGAAAGCTTCAGTCCTTAACTGGTTGCTCAGAGTTAAAGGAGCTTCTTACTGATCGTTCCCAGTCATCCGAAAAGCCAGCCAGCTCTGCCAATGTGGCAAAGGGCTAGGAGATGCCATTACTGCGTGGCTCCCGGCCCTTTCTCTTGGGGCCGGAATGAAATGTGCATATTTCATTGGTAATTGACAGCCACAGAGCATACTTCTCATCCACAGTCTGTTCCCACCTCGTCTGCTGTTTGGCCGGGTCTACACTGGGAATATGAGGGCCACGTTCTAGGGTGTAGGCTTGTCCGGCCACCTCTGCTGGACAGACACCTGCAGTAGCAGAACCCGATCTCCGCTCAGCTTGTCGGGAGAGGTCATGGGTTCAGTCAAGTTGGGCGCCGACAGCCAGCACCGCTGTGTCTCAGTGTCCCATTCCCCTTGTGGGATCTCCCCTGTCTGGAGAGGACAGGTCGCTAGTGGCAGGGTCTACGTGCAGAGCGTGACTGGACAAGAGACACAGGCAGACACGTGCCCTGACTCAGAAGTGTCCAAGGCTTTCCACCTAACAGCCTTTAATCTGGCTTGCTGACAAAATCCGTGTAATTTTTTATTATCATTATTATTATTATTACCATCAGCAGCGGCAGCATCATGTTCCACTGGGCTGTTTCTACAGGTTTAGCTGACTTGTTTTTCTTCCCTGACTCTTGGCTGCTGAGAATAAGTAAATCCCTTTCTCACTGACTGTCACTCTCCTTTCCTTTGATCTTTTGTTTTCCCCAGACCCAGAATCACTTAGTCTCCCAAAGGGCTTGAATCTACCTGGAATTTTACGCATCCATTACAGCCATCACGTAAGCCTAATTGTTATTTGGCCCCAGGTGCATTGGCCAAAAGCACAGAACCCCCCGCCCCCCACCCATGAGACAGGAACCAGCCACCGCGTGCCCCTCAGATCCAGGGACTACCCACTCTTCCCGTAAAAAGCAGAAAAACCTCAGACAAACATATCTCAGACTCCTGCCAGCCCTAATCCATAGTGCAAAAGAAACAAGCAGGTAACTTTCAAGATGTAATCCTTGGTTGGTGGTTGTAGGAGAGAGAGCTAAATGCTTAGACCTTCAGAGCATATCATCAGGAAATTCTTTCTCCTATTTAATCAGACTTAACCTCGGCAATGACTTAAGCTTACATATTCTGGTTCTGTCCAGAGACACTCTTCTCTTCCCTACACATGATATTTCTAATAATCCTTTGTTTTTAAGACTTTATTTATTTTTGAGAGAGAAAGCATGGATGGGAGAAGGACAGAGAGAGGGAGAGAGAGAATCCCAACCAGGCTCCACACTGTCAGCACAGAGACTGATACGGGGCTCAAACCCACAAACCATGAGATCATGACCTGACCCAAAGTTGGATGCTTAACTGACTGAGCCACCCAGGTGCCCCTGTAATAATACATTTTTAATAAATTATATTTTACATATAAAAGTATAAAAGATTTCTTACGTAAGATAATTTTAATAAAACATGTAAGAAGAGGATATTGCTTTACTTCAGTAAGACTTCTATATTAAAATATTTTATTTAAAAACTTTTAAATGTTTTATTTTTGAGAGGGAGAAAGAGACACAGTGTGAGTGGGGTGGGGGGCGGGGGGAGAGGGAGACACAGAACCTGAAGCAGGCTCCAGGCTCTGAGCTGTCAGCGCAGGGCCCGACACAGGGCTTGAACCCACAAACCCTGAGATTGTGACCTGGGCTGAAGTCAGACGCTTAGCCCACTGAGTCACTCATGCACCCCTATTTAATTATTTTAGATTTATCAATATTTTACAAGGAAAATATTTGTATATAAAATGTCCTAGACTTCTACACATAAAGCATGAAATGAAATATTTTTTAAAAATTTTTTATGTTTATTTTATTATTGACACAGGGAAAAACAGAGCATGTGTGGAGGAGGGGCAGAGAGACAGGGAGACACAGAATCCGAAGCCGGCTCCAGGCTCTGAGCTGTCAGCACAGAGCCCTACGCGGGGCTCAAACCCACAAAACGGTGAGATAGTGACCTGAGCTGAAGTCGGAAGCTCAACCAGCCGAGCCACCCAGGTGCCCCGAAATGAAGTGTTTTATATTCTATACGGACAGATATTTAAAAATGTCTCTGGGGCACCTGGGCGGCTCAGTGGGTTAAGCATCGTACTTCCACTCAGGTCATGATCTCCCAGTTTGTGGGCCCAAGCCCTATGTTGGGTTCTGAGCTGGAGCCTGCTTCAGATTCTGTGTCTCCCTCCCTGTCTGCCCTTCCCCCACTCGTGCTCTGTCTCTCTCTCTCCCCCCAAATAAATAAACATTTAAAATATATCCAAAACAGAGGCCATTTTAAGTATATTAAAATAAGTCCATATTAATTGATTTAATTTGGCTTCATACTAACGCTAAGGAATTCGACGTAAATATTTAGAATACAGAGTCTATCTTAAACATAATATAGGTCTTGTTACTTTTGCATGAGTGACCGGTGCTGCAGGCCCTTCGGAGATTGTAGAGGGGGTATCGGGTCCGGTCTGCGTCCGGGGGGCCACGGCGCCCCCCGCCCCCTCCGGCCGCGCCCTCACCGCTGTCTCTGTCCCGCCCGCAGGCATCGGCAAGAACGTCATCTGCGACCGCACGGCCACGCCTCTCGACGCCTTCCGCATGATGTCGGCCGCCCACTACTACCCCAAGCTCATGAGCATCATGGGCAACGTGCTGCGCTTCCTGCCGGCCTTCGTGCGCATGAAGCAGCTCATCGAGGAGGGCTACGCGGGCGAGCTGCTGGTGTGCGAGGTGCAGGTGCACGGCGGCAGCCTGCTGGGCAAGAAGTATAACTGGAGCTGTGACGACCTGATGGGCGGCGGCGGCCTGCACTCGGTGGGCACCTACATCATCGACCTGCTCACCTTCCTCACCGGCCAGAAGGCCGTCAAGGTCCACGGGCTGCTCAAGACCTTCGTCAAGCAGACGGACCACATCAAGGGCATCCGCCAGATCACCAGCGACGACTTCTGCACCTTCCAGATGGTGCTGGAGGGCGGCGTGTGCTGCACCGTCACCCTCAACTTCAACGTGCCCGGCGAGTTCAAGCAGGACGTGACCGTGGTGGGCTCGGCCGGGCGCCTCCTGGCGGTGGGCACCGACCTGTACGGGCAGCGCAACGGCGCCCCCGAGCGGGAGCTGCTGCTGCAGGACGCCACGCCCGTCAGCAACTCCCTGCTGCCCGAGAAGGCCTTCAGCGACATCCCGTCGCCCTACCTGCGCGGCACCATCAAGATGATGCAGGCCGTGCGCCAGGCCTTCCAGCACCAGGACGACCGGCGCACGTGGGACGGGCGGCCGCTCACCATGGCCGCCACCTTCGACGACTGCCTGTACGCCCTGTGCGTGGTGGACACCATCAAGAGGTCCAGCCGGACGGGCGAGTGGCAGAACATTGCCGTCATGACCGAGGAGCCCGAGCTGAGCCCCGCCTACCTGATCAGCGAGGCCATGCGCCGGAGCAGGATGTCCCTGTACTGCTAGCTGGGACTGGGGACCCAGGGGGACTCAGGTGTGCAGCGTGGAGCCCAGAGAGGGGGAAGGCGTGGGGGGGGCGGGAAGGCGGAGGGGCAGGGTGAGTGGAGTGGCCCCAGGAAGGTTGAAGCCCAGACTGGGTGAGGGCCACCTAATAAGACTGTGGGCTGGCTGTGCCAACAGCCTGGGAGTGTTCAGAGGGCCTGACCTTCGGGAGGTCGCCCCAGCCGGTCGTTTGCCCGAGGAGCCGGTGGCTTAGCCTCTCGTTGCCCCCTCACCAGGAGAAGCAAAGAGGCGGATGCTTTCCTCCTCCCTCCCTCCCTCCCTCCCTACACACTGGCCTCCTTGGCAGCCAGATGCTCCTGTGACCCAATGGCGAGCTCAGTGGGGTGCCGGCTTCCCCCCCCCCCCCACCCGCCTGGCAGGAGAAGGCAGCCCTCACAGGTCCACAGAATCCTGTTAGTCTGGGGGGTGGGGTGGGGGTGGGGGTGCAGTGGGCTAATGAGAAGGTTCAGATTCCAGAAAGCCACTTAAAATGTCTGAAGGAAAAAGTACTTGGTAGCAAAGTGAATAGCGGGCTTGATCGATTGGTCTTCCTCCTAGGAAGCAGCAGGGGGTGTCTTCCTAATTGGTGCACTGCCCTTGGCCTGGCTGGAGGAGGGGTAAGGGAGAGCCAGGAATAGCCAGCAAGCCAAAAGGGGAGCACCCAGTCACAGGCTGCATGGAAACAGAGTAGGCGGAGAGTAAAATAGCCCTTTGGGTTTGTCATCAATTACAATCCTGTTTCGGGTGGGGTAGAACTAAGCGTAAAGGGATATGGGCTGGAGCGTCCTCTCCAGCGGGGTCAAGGGCACAGCCGGAACGGGTCAGACTACAAGTTCACGGGCCGCCCTCACGTGCTGCGTGGGCATCTCTCAGCAGACGGGAAAGTGAGCCGGCCCTTGGCGGGCTCTGGCCTCCAACACCCGGGCCTCCTACCAAGCCCGTAAAGGACTTCTAGGAGATTCGCCCAGCTTCGTGGATTTAAAAGGGAAGCCTTAGGTTCCAAGCAGATATAATCCTCTTCCCGTAAAAAAAAAAAAAAAAAAAAATTCAAGGGTGTTTTCCTTAGCTTTGACCTTTGCTTTCAAGATTCTGACACCTGTAAGGTTTTGAATGGGTATTAAAGCAAAAGGCAACAAGGAATATCATGTTCAGTGTTTCTACTCTGGGGCTTTAGAGCCCACGGAGGTGTATCTTCACGTAGGGTTGAGAAGGTGCACGTTGGAAAAAAAGAGCATATTTTCCCCTCCTGGTCCAGGTTTTGCTGGAGAGGGTAGACTTCAGGCTTGGAGCGGGCAGTTCCGAAGGGGGACTACTAGAGACACACGCGCACACACGCAGACACACACACACACACACGGGTTTGTCAGGGCTCACCACCACCAAATGTCACTGAAATGGCTCTTAAAAATTCAGACGTCCCTTGAAAGAAACACCGAGGCAAACATTTGGAAACTGGGAAATTCTCCTTTTCCGAACCTGGAATCCCCCATTAGACACTAGTCAGGGTTGGCTGTGGAGACAAGAACTTACAAATCCCCGTAGCTTTTGCTCACAGGTCACAGAACCCAGTAGTGGTCTTTGGCACACACCTGAGGTTTTGACGTCTTTTCAGATGACTGGCAGTAGAGGCAGAAGAGAATTTAAGGGGCCGAAAGCCAGCCCCCCGCCTCACCCCAGACTCTGAGGACACAGAATCTGAAAATGAACAGTACGGGCCATTGTATCTTCCATTCTCCTCCCAGGGTCACTGCATGTGATGCCCAGGCTGCCCGTGGGTGTGGGGTGAGCATATCCAAACACCGCAAGAATGTTGGGTCATTTTCCAGCACAATAAGGAAGGATTACCTTCCCCCAAAGAGTCACTCACTCATGGCTAGTGAGTCAGCTGGAACTCTCCATGGTCAATTATGGTCTCTGACATCATCACCTCGTGACCATCATGCTGGCGTTCAGAGCTACCAGTTCAAAACAAGAGATTTGGTAGAACGAACCTGCCCCAGTAATAGTGGGGACAGATGGCCATGCTGTGGACTGTTTCAGTTCAGAGTCTCCTAAACTGCCTTCTGGATAAATACCTTTTGTAGAAACTGAGTGGAAAGATTTTTTTTTTCCCCTATCTAGCCTGAAAGGCTGTGATTAAGGATGAAGGGAAAGAAAACTTAGATTAATTCTATGGGTCTCATTTTTCTAAGTCATTTATCAATCTAAGTAGGGATATCAAGGGGTTTCAATTCTATGTTTCTGTACTTAACCCAAAGACTTGGGAAGGTTTTTTTGTTTTGTTTTGTTTTGTTTTGTTTTGTTGTTTTTGTGTTTTGTTTTCTCCTTCCAAAGGCCTCTGAGTCCTGTGATAAATAGTCAGTGTCTAAAACACAAAATCTCATTTGAGACTAGGGGATATAGAGAGAATATATATTCTTTAAAAGAAGCATGAAAAATATTTTAGTAAGTGTACTCGAATCTTCTCTACTGAAATGCATGTAGTAGATGCGGCCACAAGAGGAGGAAACGACTGAGGTAGTTCATTGTTTCAAATACAAAAATTCCCAGAGAGGAGTTTCAGATAGTTCTTTAGTGCTCCTTTAGTTTTGCCCCAGAACTACCACCTGATTGGTAGTTCTACCAATCTTCTCCCAGTCTACTACCACCTCCCACGGCCTGATTGGGAGCCGCATGGGCAGCTGAGATCTTGAGCTTTCCACCTAGCTCGCTGGGGAAAAGTCCAACACCACATTGTGCGCCCAGGAGTCTGAGTTCCATCAGCCCGACTTTGGCCCAGGATGAAGCCCGGAGCAGCAATCCAGCCCTTTTCCGCTTTGGTTACTGTGTCTCGAAGACCTGGTGTCATGGAAGCACCACCTCAGGGTCTCCCATTTAGTCCCTGTTGCTTGAGTGGTTCCCATTTTTTGTGTGGATGCTTCCCTCTGGTCCTGGAGATGTTGGCTTACGCTCCTGGCTGAGGGCGGGCGGGGCAGCAGTGGTTCTCGCCTGATATTCACAAGGGTTGGGAATGCTCTGGGCTTACTTGGAAAGTTTGGATTCTCTTGGGTTTTCTTCTGGAGAGAAAGTCCATGGCCACTGGCAGCTTTTCTACGACCTCTCCTCCCAGTGGAAGAGACGTCGCTGGGTACCACACACACTCCTACTTGAGCCATCCAAGCGTTCTCTGTGCGCCAACATTTCTTGATCATCCACTCTGTGCAGGGCATTTTAGGTGAATTCTCTCACTTAATCCCCAACACAACCCAGTGGTCTTGGGTATTGCTATTCCCATTACACACAGGAGAAAATGGAGGCTCTGAAAGGAAGAGTAACTTGCCCACAGTCACACGACGATTAAGCAGAAGTGGGGTCACCTGAATCCAAAACTTATCTTCTCCAAACCATGCTGTCCCCCAGTGAGAAAGATCTGTACCCCTGAAGTTCTCACCAGGCAGGAAAGCACTCCTTGCTGAACACTGAGGGGGCTGTTCTCACGCCCCATAGAGCATCCGTGATTAATTCTGAGTGTCTATTCCCTCCCCCTGAGCAGGATGCCACATTTGATGTTCTGCCAGAAGGTTCCTTATAGGGCTGCAAATAGAAGTAGCCGGTTTTCCAGCACCTTCCAAAATGGAAATAGCACTCAGCTTCTTTCCTTTAAAATCAACCTTCCTAAGTTGATTTTGATTGTAGGTGATGCAGAAAACGGACAAGTTGGGGATTTTCAAGATTCCATTGGCCGACCATCCTAGGTGGCCTTGGATCTTGCCCTCGGTGGTCTAACAGAGGCAAATGCCTTCTCAGGGAGTGGGGCTTTTCCAGTTCAGTGGCTCGTGACTCCGGTTTTACCTGTGCATTCTGCATTCGTATCTGCACACACTCTCAACTCTCTTCATCTTGGCTCAGAGCCGCCGCTGTTGAATTTGACCTGGGTCATAAATTAGGGCTCCGGAGGGCTAGCCTTTTATTCTGGTGGGTGTGTTGGGGGGGATTGCAGCACACTGGGGGAATTACCCTGGGGGAGAAAGGCGCTCCTGTTGCCTCTGAAGGGATATTAGAGCCCGGTGTATTCACATCCTTTATGTTACCTCCCAGAGAGATTAAGTGATAGCTGCGGTCACTCTGCTTCTTAGGACCTGCTTTCTAAGTCCCTTGCTGCTGCACACGGCACCTTCAGGGCTCTCAGATGGGGACGGGGAGGCAGAGAGGTGAAATGACTCATCTGAGGTCCCCTGGCTAGTGGGGGAATGAGCTGCAATTACAATTCAGACCTGTGACCGACTGTTTTCCACGAGCTCCTGCGGTCGCATCCATTTCTTAGCAAGTCCATTCTCTCTTGAATGTACTCAGAAACTAGCTCTGTATTTCCATTGTGATCGTAAGGCAAACAGTCATCCGTAGTTTGTGTTCTGTGCGGCAAGGGTGGCGGACATGCACGTTGAGACCCACCTTTGGGGTTTCCTGAGGCCAGCTCTGCCTCGATTGCCCTCCACTCCCCTCCCAGATGCAGAATCAGACCCCCTGCTTCACCTGTTGCCTCCTATTTTGGGCCATCAGAGCCCTGAAGTTTTACAGGGCAGAGGCCATGACCTTGGGGAGCTCGTTGAGGAGAAACTCTCAGAGCCCCGCACTCCAGTCCTTTTCAGGACAGGGGTGTGGGGAGGTGGGCCATGAAAGGAAAGCTGTGTGTGTCTGCGGTGCAGCTTCAGTCCTGAGCAGCAGCCGGCGTGTTGCACCTGGCCTGGCCCCCCCAGCCCCCCACCCCCGGCAGAGAAGCAGGCCGATGGCAGTGCTCGGAGTCTCCTGGGCTGACCTTGACTGAGTCCGGCTCCCAGGACTTCCCACAAGAGGAGTGAAGTCCTCCCGTGTGGCCGTCAGAGGCGATGAGCTCGGTGGGCTGAGTCTGGAGGTGAGGCCAGCACCGTATCTGAGTGACCACATCCGTTAGCAGCAGAAGGTGGTGGCCTCTTGAGTTTTCTCTTCCCCATGTCAGTCCCTATTTCCTGGAGCCCTTGTGAGGGCCACGGAAGCATCTGGCCCTTGGCCAGGCTACTCAAGTGCTGCACTACTGAATACTCTTGAATCTGTCGTCCTCTGTTTTTGTTTAAACCAGCAGCGAGTAATCACAAGACCGTGTCGTATGCAATAGCTCTCCGCTTAGTGCAGCATCCAAAGCTTGCCTGGGCCAGTGTGGGCAGGCCCTGGGGAATAACCATAGTTATTCCGCTTCTCTCATTCCCCGTCCTGATCTCTGCTGTCATCTGCAGCCATCCCAAGGGCTAAGTCGTCGGATGAGCCCCCATGGCTTCCCCTTATAAATGCGATGACTTACTTGCAATTCTAGTCTAACCCCAGGTTGAGAAACAAAGCAAAAGCAAGCGACCCAACTGGCTACTTCGCTCCCCTCATTCTCCTTCAGGCATCCAAACATATTTAAATATATTTAGTATTCTGCCCTGTGCCTTGCCCAGGGGAGGGAGAAGTTTCTAGTGATTACGGTTTTCTGTTTGCTGCCTGGTGCTTTTACAGTACTACTATTTTTTTTTTTTAACCAAAATTACATTGGTTTGGTTGGTATTGTTGAGTATGTATTTATTGTGTTTTACAAACATGAGTATATATATGTATGTATATGTGTAAAACCAAACCAAGATATATAAAAAGTCAAGGCATGTATACTAGATATTTTAAAGAGTTATTTATCAAGGGGAAAAGACGTGTGTTATAAAGTAAACAGAGTCTATATTTTATATATAATGTAGATAGCAAAAAAATAGCTTATAAATTATAGAAGGTTTTGGTTTTCTTTTTTAATTATTATTAAAGCAAAAAAGAAAGAAAGAAAGAAAGAAAAAGAACAATGAATGCAACTGTCTATAGTGCTTTTAAGGCCAAACTTACTGTGGGAGGCGGACTTCCCGACGGGGTGGCGGGGGGGGGTCCCTTGGGCTATGGTCTGAGCTCCAGACCCAGGAGCTGATCAATTCCCCCGGTTACCGCTGCAAGGCTCAGGGGACCGTGGCTGCCATGTGCCACCTTACACATGGTCTCCCTGACCTGCATTGGTGGGAGAAGGAAGCGAAAGCAGCCAATAAAGATTGAAGAGAAGATACAATTCCAGCTGTTGTGCTGTTCTTAGACCCAGGTGCGCTGGCTCATGAGTTAGGTACCTGGCCAGTGTGTGGGATCTGAAGCAAGAACGTGGGTGGGAATGAATGATGGCTGTCTCTCTGGTGTGCGTGTGGGG